ATAATATAATATAATATAATATAATATAATATAATATAATATAATATAATATAATATAATATAATATAATATAATAAACTCTGGAGTGCCTCGAGCAATTTCAACCAAAGTGTTGGTTGAACAGTGGGCCAATGGGGAAGTGCCTGATGGACTTGGGGCAAACTGCCAGGATTATAGACAGGGGAAAGGAGGAGCGCACAGGAGAGGGAAGGGAGAGGGCAGGGATGATGGGCATGGGAGTAGGGGGACGAAAGGCCCCTCTCAGACAAATGCTTCAGGGCAAAGTGCCAGGATCGTAGACAGAGTGGCAGAGAGGAGCGCATGGGAGGGAGAAAGAAGAGGGCAGGTATGATGGGCATGGGAGTAGGAGGAAAAAAGGTCCCTCTCAATGGCTCCCTGTCAGACAAACACTTTGATTTTTATAAATACCCGGGCAATGCCGGGTTATCAGCTAGAATAACTATAAAAAGGTAGCAGGGACAGGGGTACTGATAATTATTATATGATTATGACATCCATGCAAAATGATACAAACACATGGTTCATATTATTCGCATCAGGTTACACACAATGACACTTTGATGTCATGATGTCGTCACCAGCAGGCAAGGAGTCTGCCCCAAACTGGTTTTCTACCTAGAGCAGAGAAAGGACAGGGAAAATAAGGGAAAAAGAAGCAAAAATGGAATTATTCCCCTCCACTTTCACTTTTATTAGACATTGGGGAATACACTGCACAATTTTGTTGCTGGTCTTACTTGATTAATTTGCCTGCAGAAGGGGACAGTTGACCTTGAAACAATTAAACCGGGCTGGATAGAGTAAGGAAGATGACAAGGAAATGCTAAAATTATAGGTTAGATTAGGGAGATTAATGCAGGCAATAAAAAACCACCGCAAAGAAAACAACTTTGCCATGTCCATTTAGTTACAAAGAGTGATCATTCTACTCAAGGCAACTGCTTTTATTTAAGGTCCTGAGCCTTATGCCTTAAAAAGAGATATTCAGAGTAAGTCTGTTCTTCCATATCCTGGTTGAAAATTTCTTCCAGCTCTTTTCACTAACCTATTGTCCTATATGTGCATTGATAACAATGTAGTTTAGAACAGGAGGTCTCCAAACTTGGCAACTTTAAGACTTATGGGCTTCAAATCCCAGAATTCCTCATACTGGCTGGGGAATTCTGGAAGTTGAAGTCCACAGGTCTTAACATTGCCAAGTTTGGAGACCTCTTGGTTTGGACTGTTAAACCAGAGATGGATTTTAGTCTACAATGAACATTTAAAAATAAATGTCATTCAAATGAAAAAAGCTTGGTTCATACAGTGATGTAATACAACTCTTTTATCCTGAGGAGCGTATTAATAAGAAAAGTATCAAAGATCCTGGTATTGCTGTCAAAATGGGACACATTAAATACAGTCAAGATTTTCATCTCCTATGATCAGAATTATCTAAATCCATACAGACATGTTTATCTTTTATCAATGTTCTTACTTTGCAAATTTTCAAACCTGAAATCTACCCACTGCTGTTTCACCAAAATCAAGATATAAACAAGGAGCGAAGGCCAAAAAAATTGCTTTGAGCCGATTAAAAAATGAATGTATAAAAATAGTGTAGATATTGAGGAAAGTATTGTTATCCATATTTTATCATCACAGCTCTTTTTCCACACGTGAACAGTCAGCCCTAACTGCAGAATTAATTTTATCATGAAAAGTGCAGGGAAGTACAAAAACAAGTAGAAATGGATTTATTCCTTTGAAATGCAGCGTAGAAGCTGCAGAGACATAGTTCATAGTGTCAGCAGCAAGGAAGCTAAGGAGAAACATTGTGTAATTTCAATTTCTAGATTAAACCCTTCAATAAACTTGAATGTCAAAATCAACTATCTACTGCACACAATAACTGGGACACTCCTTAAATGGAATGAATAGAATGGTTTTTAAAAAGTACCTTTGACAAAACTTAGGTACATGCCTTTCTTTTATCCTAACCAATTTCTACTGTTTTCAAAACAATCTAAAACCCTGGCCTATCCATAGAGTCAAGAATCCCAATTTTTATCTTTCAGCGCCAACAACAATGAGCAGAAACATAATCATCTCCACCCCTTGGACAAAAATGCTTTGCGTAATCTAATACCCCAGAATGGATAGAATAGTTTATGTTTAAAAATTCCTGTTAGCCACCCAGAGTTGCATTTCTGGGGTGGGAAGCCATATAAATCCAAACAAATAAACAAACACCGTTTTTTGGGAGAATAAGACACATCTTCCCCCCCCCCAAAAAAGAGGGTGAAAATCTGGGTGCGTCTTATACACTGAATACAGCATTTTTGACTTTTTGACCTTTGGCTGTCCAACCCTCCTGTAAATATAGAGCAATTTTCTGACCAAGGTCATCCGGTTATAAGTAATATTATTATGACTCAAACAGAAAATTTGCATATTACATTATGCCATGAGATGCTGGGAGCAGACCACACTAAATCATAAACCATGGCTTGCCTCATCTGCCACACTGAACTCAAATCAAGCCAAGTACCCTATGGGTTTATGCTATATGTGGACACAGCCAAAAGGTGAGGCTGAAACCAGGATTTTGATTTGCTGGCTTTTGGTACCAGTTCTTCCCAGCAATGGTCCCTATAGGAGCCAGTCATCAGAAAGACAGAGGGAAGGGCCCCGTGTGGTTGGTTGCAAGCACACAATGAGATATGGGAATCTTATTTCCCTAAATGGAAATGGGATGGTAATCAGTGCCCGTAAGATTTAGTTGCGACCTCTGCCACAATGCAAACCACAATATAGGATTCCTGTATTTTCTGCTTCTTTACTCCATGTCTCAGGAGAACACAATGTTGTGCTCCAGTAACCAAATTAGAGGAGGAGGCATGGGAGTCAGGATTAGCATCAAGACAACCTGAGAGCTCCGAGGGGGAAGAGGGAATGGAGCTGGCAGAGAGAGAGAGAGAGGGGGAGGGAGGGAGGGAGGGAGACTGAATCATCTGTCAACCCTCAGCTGGAGAATAAACAGCTCCCAGGTCTGGAGGTGACTGATGAGGAAGAGGAGGAACAGCTGGATCTAGTGCCTGATGTGCGGAAGGCAGAGGAGAGGAGAGCAGTGGAAATCTATAGGCCGGTCCTTGAGAAGGAAGAGCCACCACTGCTAGCGAAGCCCACCCTAGCTCTGGGGATAAAAGGCAGGGGGGTGGGGGTGGAGATGAATAGGTGTGGCAGACAACTATTCATCTCTCTGCTGGTCAGACTTGTTAGCTTGCAGTGAGAAAGAGAGAATTTTTTTGCCAGGGCTGCTGGCATTCCTAATAAAGGGAGCATTGCTTCAACTACAGAGGGTTTGTCGTGTTTGGGGAACTGGGTCAGAACACATAGCCAACCTGTTATCACTGGTGATGCAGGCAGCGCAGGTTCCCGTCGGTTCTTCGCTTTGTTCATAGTAGTGAGCATCAACGTGAGCTTCTTCCGTTTTTCTTTTGAGGATCTCACCAAATTTATCGGTACCAATGCAGCCAAAAAAGGTTGCAGCTTTGTAGGGGAACTGGATCATCCACTGCAATTAAAGTGTGGGGGGGGAGGGGGAGAATGAAACATTTGTAATGACATCCAGATTTCCGACACACTGTAGAGCATGTTAACTGTTTTAAAGGCAAAACTGAAGAAATAATACTTTAACATCAAATTCAATAGATAATATCTTTAGTTTGAGTTACATTTTGATGGCTTTCAAATTATTTAAGTCTTTAGATTGTCAAAAGACATGAAAATGGATGCATTTTACAAAAACAATTATACACCACGTTTTTTGGAGTAGAAGGTGCACACTTTTCCCTCAAGAGGGTGAAAATCTGGGTGCGTCTTATGCATTGAACCCAGTCCACTTTGCAAAAATGGCCTTCCATAGCCTTTAGCAGGCTTCTAGAGTGGTCCTGGGGGCTGGGGAGGGCAAAAATGAATGAAAAGTAGGCCGATTTTTGCTCGTTTTTGCCCCCCAGCCCCGAGGAGCACTTTATAAGCCTCCTAAAGGCTATGCATGCCCTTTTTTTGACAAACAATGGGCCCGTTTTCGTGAAAACTAGCCGTTTTGGGGAGATCTGCAGAGTGCAAAAACTTTTTTTTTAAATTTGCCTCTTCAAAGTCTTGGTGTCTCTTATTCTCCGGTGCATCTTATACTGTGAAAAATACAATAGTTTATTACCGATTTTATATGTAACCAATAATTTGCCTAGATTTTGAATGTTCCAGGAAAACAAAACCAGCAGTTTGAGATGCACCAAAATAAATAATGCTTAAACAGAAAACAACTTCAATTTCATTCTAATGAAGGAATGCTGAGGTTATATAGATACTAAATAAAGAGGCAAAAGGGGGGGTGAGGGGAATCAACATAGGCAATGCAAACTCTGCAAGGAACAAATCTCTATATAGAATACAATTGTAGTAGTAGTAGTAGTAGTAGTACTAGTAGTAGTAGTGTAGTAATAATAACAATAACAACAATAACAAGTCCCACCCCCCACTCTGCCTCCTTTTCATGTTTTAGTTTTTATGTAACTGTAAGCCAGTGTTACCCTATGGTAAGATATACATACATACATACATACATACATACATACATACATGCATGCATGCATACATACATACATACATACATACCATGTTTTCCCAAAAATAAGACAGGGTCTTATTTTCTTTTGACCCCAAAAATAAGCGCTTGGCCTTATTTTTGAGGAGGCCTTATTATTTTTCAGGTGTAAGAGGCGGCAAGCATGGTCACCTCATGGCTGCTGCTGTGTTGCAATATTTTCAGGAAGGACTTACTTTTGGGGGGGAGGGGGCTTATTTTAGTGCATACGCTTAAAAGCCCAATTGGGGTTATTATCCGGGAGGTCTTATTTTCGGGAAAACAGGGGACATGCATGCTCATAGACTCACTGAAAAGTAGTAAGCCATCAAAGTCCCTGAAAAAGACTTTATCACACATAAAGCAATTGTTTTGTTTTCACATTTTTATTAGTACTGCCTATTTGCACAATGTCAAAAGAATTAAAAATCCAGATTGGTGAAAGAAAATTTAAACCTTCAAAACCAAGCACTGAGAAATTCATATGGAGAGAATGTATGTATCAAAGGCACAAAAAGCATCTCTGTAATCTTAAAAAGAGGTACTATTATTTCAACTACCTAATTATGTCTGTCTAGAAAATCAGTACATCTGGAGATAATTAACTATTTTGGTGCGATAACCAAAAGAGGAATATTTATTTTATTGATTAGATTTTTATTCCATCTTTATTACTTTATAAGTAATTCAAGGGTGAACAGACATAATATTCTTTCCACCTCCTGTTTCCCCCCCACAACGACCCTCTGAGGTGGGCTGGGCTGAGAGAGAGTGACTGGCCCAAAGTCACCAAGCCATTTTTTTCATGTTTTAAGACGGGACTAGAAATTCCAGTCTCCTGATTCCGAGGCCAGCACCTTAACTAGCATACCAAATTAGCTCTGAATAAAACAGGGGGAAAATGTCTGGACCAAACGTGATTTCTAATGTTGTATTTTCCCCCTTACCAGAGGAAGCCCCCTTGTGGAGTATTGTGCAAGCCGTAACCATGGCAACTTCACTGCACTGTACAGTAGAAGCCATTTCACGGCAGTATATGCTGGTCTCTCTCTCTCTCTCTCTCTCTCTCTCTCTCTCTCTATATATATATATATATATATATGTATATGTGTGTGTGTGTGTGTGTGTGTGTGTGTGTGTGTGTGTATACACACACACACACACACACACATACATATATGCTGGTCTTGTTGTATTTGAGTCTTTTCCCGTGTAAGATTGAGATTGTCTTGGCAACGTTTCACTTAAAACCCAGCCTGAAGATGGCGAGCGAGACCTCGCTGAAACGTTGCCAAGAAAATCTCAATCTTACATGGGAAAAGACCCAAATACAACAAGACCATTATACCTACACCCGTGAAAATCTACATATATATGTATGTATGTATGTATGTATGTATGTATGTATGTATGTATGTAGAGGGAGAGGGAGAGGGAGAGGGAGAGGGAGAGGGAGAGAGAGAGAGAACAGCTGTTCCAACACAATGTAAAAAGATTTTGATTGGTAAACTATGACATTAAATGTATAGTGTAATGTGTTTTTGCTTTTGCTTTAATAGCCCATTGAGGTGGGTTTAGAGGGAAATTCATGCATCAGTTAACCAGTCTCGCTCAGTCTTCAGATTACAACCTTCTCCCTACTGTATAAATATCTTTTATGCTCTCAAGAAAAACCTTTTTTACCATGAGTTCTAAAGAATCCCGAATCCTTTGATTACAGCACAGATCTTGACTCTTATCTGGAGTGTTACTTTAAAATGTTTTGCAGACTTACTGCAAAGGCTTGCTAAATTGGTTTGATAAACTGATATGCAGTATTTCAAGGTAAGAGTACAGATAATAGTACACTCTTTTTTATAATAAACTCATCAGTTGAGCTTTTTTCTTTAATGGAAAATCTGAACAAAAAGCTTTAGAGAGCATTAAAATGGTCTATGTCATAAATTAAGTACTGAAAACAGGGTGAACTCAAGAAGGATATTTGGAATCTGCAAAGACACCCCGATAAAAATTATTGACCCCTTCAAGTTTACTGAAACTGCCAACCAACTGTTTGCGTGCCCAAGCCTCTAAAATCTAATAGAGGTATCTATTATGGACCAATGATTAAAAAAAGGAAACCAGAAGATGGGTTGATGCTGGTAGTCCTTGACTTATTACCGTAACTGAGCCCAGAATTATGGTCACAGGTATCATGTGATTGAACCCGAATTTTTGACATTTTTTGCAGCTGTTGTAAAGCGAACACCATAGTTGCTAAGAGAACACTGCAGACATTAAGTGAATCAATTTTTCCCAATGGGTTTTTTTATTGCTGGAAACTAGAAGTAAACATTGAAGACCGCAAAAACAATGTTGTAAATCATGTATCTGCAAACGGGAGGAAAGCCAAGTCATTTTAATTTCAAAAATGTGTCTGAAGTAGTTTTGGAGTGGAGTGGGGTCTGCTGTATAGCTTCAGAAGTATGGAATGCAGTGAAATGGAGTGAAGTGGAATGGAATGGAATAGAATAAGAATGGAATGCAATAGAATAGAAAAGAATGCAAGAGAATAGAAAATAGAATAGCATAGAATTGAAAGGGATCTTGGGGGTCTTCTAGTCTAGCCCCCTGCTCAAGGAGGAGAACCGCTACTATTTCAGATAAGTGGCTATCTAGACTCTTCTTAAAAACCTCCAGTGAGAAGAGTGCCCACAATTTCTGGAGGCAAGCTGTTCCACTGGTTAATTGTCCTAACTGTTAGGAAGTGTCTCCTTAATTCCAAGTTGCTTCTTTCTTTAATTTTTATCCATTGTTTCTTGTCCTGCCCTCTAGTGCTTTAGAGAATAATTTGACCCCCTCTTCTTTGGGGCAGCCCCTCAAATACTGGAATACTACTATCATGTCACCCCTAATTCTTCTTTTCTTTAGACTAGTGAGACTCAAAACCTGCAGCCGTTCTTCATATGGTTTACTCTCCAGGCCTTTGATCATCTTAGTTGCTCTTCTCTGCACTTTTTCCAAAGTCTCAAAATCTTTTTTTTTTTTTTGTAATATGGTGTCCAAAGCTGGTTGCAGTATTCCAGGTCTGGACTTAATAGGTTTTATAAAGCGGTACTAATACTTCACGATCTTAATTCTATGCTTGGTCACTAAGCAAATGGTCATACATTGAGGACTATCTGTATAAGAAAATGCAGCATATGAACGGATGTTATTCTAGGCTTTTGATTGGTTGGAAGCCTGAACAAAACCCTCTTATTAGGGAAATACAATTTATTCCAGCATCCACCAAGAAACTGCAAAAGTGAGGTCAGCAGAGTGCAAGCAACTCTACAGAATTTGACATTCATAATTAGCTGACCTGTGAACAGAAGACCAGGGTGAGAAGGAAGAATCCTGCCAGCTGATGGGACAGAAGATTGATTGACATGACTCTTTAATGGTGAACTGCAATGCTTGGGGCATGTTGCTCTCCTGTCAGCAGCACACAAGACTTAGGCAAGAAAAAGTATTATTTTACAGTATTAACTTATTAAATTAATATGCTGGCCATGTCACTGTTCAAAATGGGCAGCATTTCTGTATAATTATATACATCAAGAAGATGAATGTGTTTAACTATCAAAATTTGGTCTACCATATCTGGGTTGCATAAATCCAGACAACCACTTGATGGCAACAAAGAAATTGTGTTCATCCAGATGTTTGCAGAAGATTAAGGGAAAAAACCAGCATTATATGAATATGAGATAAATCGAGTATGGCTTATGTTTATTTTGAAGATCTTTTCCATCTCACTTACAAGTAATTTTTTTCTGTTAAATTTCACGCTATGACATCTGAATGATAACAAAATGAAATCAGAAGGGATTTTCCTTATCTGTTAGATAAAAGTTCTGAACTGCAAACATACATTATCTCAACTTCTTACATACAACACGGTTTGA